TTATCTCTAATCTAAATCTCTCCCCATGAGTGTTTCCTTAAATAAAAATGTCTCCACAACTGGTGAAATTAAGATGCCCTGAATACTCCTAATGTAGAAATATAGCATCTCTGAAGAACCTAAAAAGGAGTGCCATGCTGCCTCAGTTGACTTATTGTTCACTACAGTCCCTGTTTATATGCATATTTGGAAGAGAGAAAAAAATTATTTTAGTTCACAGTTGGGTAATATATGGTTATCTGCTTTTCTCACTATCCGTAACATTAGAGTAGCTATTCTAATTCATTAAAATAACTTAGGAGGAAATGGGGCGGTGGCTCACACCTATAATCCCAGCACTTTTGGAAGCCAAGTTGGGAGGATCACTTGAGGTCAGGAGTTCAAGACCAGCCTGGCCAACACAGCAAAACCTTGTCTGTACCGAAGATATAAAAATTGACCAGGCATGGTGACACACACCTGTAATCCCAGCTACTTGGGAAGGTAAGGCAGAATTGCTTGAACCAGGGAGGCAGAGGCTGCAGTGAGCTGAAATCATGCCACTGCACATTAGCCTGAGTGACAGAACAAGACTCCATCTCAAAAAAAAAAAACAAAACAAAAAACCAAAACAACCTAGCACAGATTTTCTTCTTAATGGCTGGGATGGTATACAGACATAAATTTGTAATAAATAGATGATAGTTATAATATTAACATTGATGCACTAACCAAATCAACTATTTTTGGCAACTACTTCTATTTGATACAGTTCATTAAATATTCAACTTTTATTGAGTGCCAACCATTTTTCAGGCACTCAGGCTATAGAGTATCAACCTTTTGAGGTACTCACATTCTAGTTAAGAGAGCCATGTAAAACAAAAACACACAACAACAACAAAACAGTATCTAAAGTGCTATTAGGTGCTGTAAGAGTTTGGGGCTGTAGAAGTTGAAAAGTAGCAAACAGCAACTGCCTGGCAGCCTAGGCCATTTCAGCCAATGGGAAGTCATCTAAAAAGTATCACCTGAAACATTTAATGTTTAATAACTATTAGATTACCTAAGTACACATGTACTCTTCTTTGGTGGTATTATTATCTGCTAATAAAATTAATAAAACTTAAAATCACTCTCCAATTAGATGTCATTATTTCATTCACATTTAATATTTAAAGAATCTATTCAAATAGGGGCCTGTCTACAGACCTCCTTCTTGATCAAAGCAAAGAATTTTTATGTTTTAATCTGTATTCATGTTCTCTCCTGGCCTGCAGTGATGGACTATAAAATCACTATATGGATGTGATCCAACCCAGACTTCTTCCCCTTAGGTAGATTAAGGGGAAATGATGTCGATCATTTAAGGACTCCTATCGTAGGTAGCCAGGTAGTAGATGATGAGTTGTTTTTCCAGGCACATTTCTAACATGCATTTTTAAATGATTTCTAGTATGAAGTCACACCAATTTCTTTACACTGACACATTTTGTAATCAAAAGCATTTGAATTTAGGCTGATTTAGTTTATCAAATCTCTGAAGCATAAGTTAAGAGTCAACATGGCTTCATTTGACTTGAGTATTAAGTCCTCACAATCTTTGAGAGATGTAAAATAATTAAGATTCAAAAAAGTGCTGTCTCTGCATGGTTTTATACACAATTATAAATGAGTACATCGCTAAAATGAGTGACAAAAGATGCAATTACCTTGACAAAATACCTAATAAGTAGCAAACAACTCACATTACACCTAACTTTGCCACAGACTTTCTGTGTGGCCCTTGATGAAGTCTTTGTATCTACTATATGAGAAATGGATGGACTATTCTCTATGTGTATTCTACCTACTTTACGGGAAGGAATAAATAAAATGAATGGAGCTGAACTATATGCTCTCTACAGGATTTCTTTAGGCTCATATACTATGAAACCTTCTTTAAAATGTTCTTTATAAATTTTATCTACCCTTTCATCCCAGGTTGTGAAATTCAGTCCCACTGTCCAGTCATTTACAGACATCTGCAAAACCTAATCTATTCCCGGTGTAAGATACCAAGGGAATGAACAATTAGGCTGCCATATGTGAATCACATGTTCCACACAGCTACTTGTTGGGTCCTCTTGTGTTATCATCACAACTAATGCCCTACAAATAATATAGGCATTTGAGAAACTCAGTAACTTTTAGAATGAAAAGGTACAGTTTATTATACCTTTTCAAATAAATCTACTAGAAAAATCTCACTGGGAACATGTGTTCATAAGCATATAAAACCACACCAGAATAAGGAATGCCTGAAAGACTACTGCATATCATCAGTCTTCAAAATACTCCCTGCTCAAAAACTATAAATAACATTCTGAAATGAAAACAGCCCTTCACAATGATAATCTAACAGACTTTCAATAATTGTAATACAGTTATCTATGTATACATACTATATATAACAGGCACACATGCCATAATTGTGTGTGCAACCAAACTAATTGGCACAAAGCAAATGTTGTAAATAAAAAACAATTTCAAAAGAACCACTACAGAAAGCTCAGAGGAAAAAGAAGAAAGAAGTCCACAAAGTAAATCAAGCCAGTGGAAATGAGATATTATGGTAAATCAAAGGAGATTTTGAGTTCCTTATGTCAAGCTCCAAAGACCACTAAAAAGATGTTTTTCATGTAAAACAAAATAGTGACACTAGTAAGGACATCTGTGTGCAGAGGGATCCATGAGAGAAAAAAATGCATGGATTATACCAAAAAAAAAAAAATTGTCAGATGCTGTACATCTTTGGGAAAAGTAGAGTACTGAAAACAAAACATAAAGTATTATCCTATACTTATACTGTGTCATTCAAGTAGCTGAACTCAAGACAAATGTAAAGGAACTAGAAGAAAAGAAAAGGCAATCAGAACATTCTTTTTTTTTTTTTTTTTTTTTTTTTTGAGATAGGGTCTTACTCTGACACCTAGGCTGGAATGTAGTGGTGTGATCTCAGCTCACTGCAGCCTCGACCTCCTGAACTCAAGTGATCCTCCCATCTCAGCCTCCTGAGTAGCTGAGACTATAGACACGTGTCACCATATCCAGCTAATTTTTGTTTATTTTTTGTAGAGAGAAGTTGTCACTATGTTGTCCAGGATAGTCTTGAACTCCTGAACTCAGGTGATCCTCCTGCCTTGGCCTCCCAAAGTGCTGGGATTACAGGCATGAGCCACAGCATCCAGCTCCTTTTCATGATATATTTCTTCTTCAATAAAGTGATTGAAGAAGAGAGAGAGCACCCAGATGAAAACCAAAAGGAGCGGGCAGAAAGGTAGTACTCTAGCTGGGAAAAGATGAAGACCTAGAGAGAACAAAAATGATTTGCGTAACATTATAAATAACTCAGGGTAAAGACAAACTTGATTACCAAATCTTTTAGAAGCTGCTTCTAAAATCTGATTTTAGCTACCTTTAGTAAGGTGACTCTGCCACAGAAGTTTTGATGATTCAAAATGAGCTTGAATAAATTCATGAAAGGCTAAGATAAGCTGAGATTAGTCCCTATCTTTTACAGTTGATGTCAGAGAGAACAAGTGTGTGCCCTCATAGCTTCCAGTGGCTGCATATATTTGAAATGCAATGGGTGTACAGGCCATTTCTATGTTTCCATGTTACATGAGATATATCAATATATTATTTATTAAATATAAGTCTAATGACCATATTAGAAAAGTCTACGGGTCATATATTTCTAAAAACTTTATTGCCTCATGATTCAGCCCTGTGATTGTTCTCATCTATATGAGAAAATCTGGATTTACTCCAGTGCTAGAAATCAACAATTTAGCAGAATTGTTTTGAGTGGCTATTTCCAGAGGCAGGAGTACAAATAGTTTGAATAGAAAAAATCCTGCAATAAGCCCTACACTTCCTAGTAAATGGGACCTGATGTTGAGGTTAAATTTAGAGATTCAGTCTGACATTAGAAAATTCACTACAGGGCCAGGCGCGGTGGCTCAAGCCTGTAATCCCAGCACTTTGGGAGGCCGAGGTGGGTGGATCACGAGGTCAACAGATGGAGACCATCCTGGTCAACATGGTGAAACCCCGTCTCTACTAAAAATACAAAAAATTAGCTGGACATGTTGGCAAGTGCCTGTAATCCCAGCTACTCAGGAGGCTGAGGCAAGAGAATTGCCTGAACCCAGGAGGCGGAGGTTGCGGTGAGCCGAGATCACACCATTGCACTCCAGCCTGGGTAACAAGAGCGAAACTCCGTCTAAAAAAAAAACACAACTCACTACAACAACAGGTATGTCTACGGCTTCTGCTAGTGTAGGATATCTAATAAAAAATAAACTATGATGGTGAACAGAATACCAAGGGATTTACTGATGGCTCAACCAATAAAAGGAATTTAAGTTTTACATAAGGAACACAGTTTCTTAAAGCACCATTGATTCCATCATTAAAATGAAATAGCAACAGAGTATGCTTTCCTTAAAACCATTACATTTACTTCCATCTACTTTGATGGAATTTACCACCTCACTTTCACGATTGGACATAAACAAGTGTTACACCCTCCCAGAGAAGAACCTCTATTCACTTGTTTTATACTTATTTCAGTTCACTCAACCAAAGCTAAACATAGATACCTGTGCATTTAGGGTAGAACAGAGGGGATTCTGTGTGTAACTAAAGGTAAAATCACTTATACTCATTAAAACTAACCATTTAATTATATTCTCCTCACATACTATAACTATTCCTTAATCAGAAACCTATTTCCCAGCCAGTTTGTTGACCATACGGCACAGAGTTCTTTTCAGAATTACAGAAATGCTCATTCAAAGCAGAAATGTTTCCCAGGGAAGTGTTGAACCCAAATAGAGGGACTTTTGAGGCCCCATACCCTAATCACGTTTTAGAGCACTGTTAGCTATCAAACAGTAACTAATCCTATCTCTTCCAAAAATCAGAATTGACTTTTACATTAAAAAAGAATTACCAAGGAATTCAGCAAACCTTACTTCTGGTAGTGGGCTGGCTGGTTTGGTTAGGATTCCTCCTACATAAACAACATTAGGTAGAGTAGGTCTCGGGAATTCCAGTGCTACGTCAGTACACAACATCCACAGGCTGGACCCATGAACCAAATCATACATGGACTTCTCTGGCAGCAGGTTGTACTTCTGCATTATCCTTTCGTATTTGGGAAGTACCAGAAAGCTGACTCCTAATCTGGAAATGAGGTAAACACCGGTATTTTTCATCCTTTGCAACAAGTTCATGCGGTCTGTGAGGAGTGAGTTAAACTCTGGGACGTATGCTAATGGAGCAGGAGCGCCCACTTCTGCAGGATACCAAAGGCCAGTTGAAAATACAGCATATTTAACCCCTAAAAGATGAGCTATCACAAATCCACACATATCATTAGGGTCCACCAGCAGCAGATCAAACTTTTCTTTCTTCAGATCCTGGATCAGGGCATGGTTGCCAACCATCATGTCACAGTTCTTGGTATAGTGATCCAGTATGTCAAACAGTTCAATTGCTGTCAATCTCCCAGAGAAAATATTCCGCATCTTGGACTGTAGGAAAGCATCTGAGGTGGTACTGTTAAAGATCCCTGGGTAGCGCTGGAGGCTGTAGTGATTAGATGGGGTGATGTCTCTGCCTTCAGAGAGGAGGAACACTGTATGGTGGCCTCTCTCATGCAAGGCTGAGGCTAGCGTCTTGAAAATGTACATATGGCTTTCAAACATTATTGGCGGCACGATGATGATTTTGGCAGCCTTCGCTATCCCAACAGCACTCCATAGGAGCATGAAGTATGGAGTATAAGACTTCATAGCTGTAACAACAACCAGAAAACAACTTAAAAAAAAAATACAATGCTTGCCATTCAAAACAAGCAATCATAGAGCTTGTTTCCCAAAAAATATTTGATCTAATACTTTGTCTAAAAAAAAAAATCACTATTAAATATTATCCTGATATTTGTTCTAATTACCTTTTTGTTTTTGAAAGATCAATTATGTAAACATAGAATTGAAAGTAAAGTTGACATAAACTGAAATATACTAAAAATGGATCTGTTTGGGAACAAAATTGCATTAGTAAACTATTTTTAAACATTTGAAATAACATTTTGATGAGGTTGAATGACACATAATATATCTTTTCAGAATGATATCTATGAAATATCTATAGAACATCTGTTCATCTTCTAATTAAATGTCAATATTAATCCCAGGAAGAAGAGCTGAGCTTTTTTTTTTTGAGACGGTTTCACTCTGTAGCCCAGGCTGGAGTGCAGTGGCGTAATCTAGGCTCACTGCAATGTCTGCCTACTGGGTTCAAGTAATTCTGCCTCAGACTTCAGAGTAGCTGGGATTACAGTCATGTGCCACTGTACCTGGCTAATTTTTTGTATTTTTAGTAGAGATGAGGTTTCACCATGTTGGTCAGGCTGATCTTGTACCCCCGACCTCACGTAATCCTCAGGTAATCAGCTTTGGCCTCCCAAAGAGCTAGGATTAGAGGCAAGAGCCACTACACCTGGCCAAGCTACACTTTTTAATTTCCAGATAGATCAGCATGTGTCTCTTATTTAAATCGTTTTATTTCAACAGCATACCAAAGAAAGATTATGTTTTAGAAAATAATTCTTTTGAATAGTTTTGTAATTTGGTAAAAAAGACTTTTTTCCCAGAGGAAAAATAATCTTTAATATATATTTTCCCTTTACCTAAATACCATATGTGTCCTAGCAATCTATATTTATGTAATCTATGTCAATTTGCTGATGCATTTCAGATCATTATGTAAAAGAGAAACTTTTAATAGAAAAGCTCAAGAGGGTTAATGGATCTCAGTAAAGACTTACTGAAAAAGGACTGATGAATAATTACATCTCAGACCACACTTGCTATTTTGTACTTTTAACTCAGATGCAAATGACAAGTGAGATGCTGGCTATACACTTGAAGGCTGCTACTTCTCCTACCTTTTCATGTTAACAGACATGTGTAATAAAGATGTCTTCTATTGGTTTTAGAGATAAACATACTATACATGGGACCATATAGTGTGCAAATATACCCACTAATCTAGTCAATATAATTATTAGACTCTAAGTTAGACCTCCAATAGAGAAAATATCTAATCAACTGCTCATGCAAATTGGACACATTTCAAAAAACTCAAAATAGATTTACACATACATCACCAAACTGATACCTATTTTTATTCCTTAGAATACATTAACCCTCCTATTTGTACAAATTTCCACCATATATATGCAGTTTTAATAATTACACCTTCTCAACATTCAAACACTGTAAGCAATCTAAAGAAATCAATAGCAGGCAACTAATGGATTCTTTCAACAAGACTGAACTCTAAAATACATATAGTTCTAGATGCTTTTTTCCTCTCTTACTCAAAGGAAAGTTTCAAACTATTTGAAAGTTGAAATTATACTATTAAGAATAAGTAAACGTAATGCACATTACAAACATATAAATGTCACTTAAATTACTATAAAGGGCTTTAAAAATAATTAACTTTGGAGAAGAAACTGATTCTATAGTAAAGTTTACTCTACAAATTACAAGATCAATGAAGGAAGAGAATTAGGAGCCTATCTTAGAAAAATCTTGCAAATCTTTATTCTACTGCACTGCCTCACCTATGTGTCTCTCCAGTGTTGCCTTCTCACAAATCTAAGGAAGGAAAAATGAGAGGTTTTATAAGGAAATATTATGAACTCCAGGAATGAGATTAATGCCAAAATAGGTAGATATTCCCACAGCTACTGACCACGGCTGTCACTGCTTGCATATTCGAGAGGATAGTACTTGATGATGGAACAACGGTAGAAAACCTCTCTCCTCACTGGGTTCTGGATGTAGCTGAGCAGACTACAGGCACACTCTGTTCAGCTAGAGTTAAAACAACTACTTTACCGATCATAAATAACTTAAAACAAAAATAATAGTAGAGAACAAATCCTTTTACAGTGTTTTTGTTTAATTCTTCCTTTGTAATTTTAGTATTTTATTTCAGCAATTACTACAAAGTAAAAATAAATCATAATTTTTTAATGAACAACTGTTTATATTTTAGAATAGCACTGTCAAAGAGAACTTTCTGTAATAACAAATATGTTCAATGTCCAATATGGTATCCCCTATCCATGTGTGGCTACTGAACAGTTGAAAATGTGGCTGGTATGACTGAGGAACTGAAACAGAAACTTTATTGAGTTTTTCTACATGTTGCTAGTGACAACCATACTAGAATAAGATTTTAAAAGACAGTAGATTCTCAAAGTCACTGTTCAGAAATACGAATATTCAGGTGACAAAATACCATCTAAAAGTCATGCCTACTAAAAATTCATACATCTTCATGAAACAATACTGATTACCAAGAAAAAAGCATCATTTATACAAGCAGTGTATTCCACTGTCAAAATAAGACATTACTTATGAAACATTACAATAGCACTTAAATCTCATAAACATCATTGTACAGAATGACAAATACAACTAGCAACAAACACTGAGATTCTTGCTCGTCTAGAATTAATTGAGTGTGCCTACTGAAAACATGATTTTCTGACATAATTATTGTATCATATCCCAATTTTAACATTTCGCTTTTAAAGCTTTTACAGTCAGGGGTTTTACTTATAAGATAGGATACAGTACCATAATTACTTACCAAAATATAAGCACTTACAATTTCTGTTCATCAAACCAACCAAATAAGCATTCATTGAGTTATGCATTGGTACTGAAAATTCCAGATGCCACATGAAAATGTTAAAATTTTAATTATGACCCATCATTTTCAATATATGACTTGAGGTAGCACTTGAAATTTAAAATGCCAACAGTATGGATTTTTTAAATACATGGTTAAAAAATACTATGTCTATAGTTTCTTGCATAGTAACACCAGGAAAGGGTTGAATGAAACTTTAAGTGTAGTAACATCCAAGGAATGAATCCACTCTTAACAAAAGCCCAAATCCACTCTTACCAATGGTTGTCAAACCTAAAGGCTTGTGACAACTGAAAAATTCCCCTATTATTTGCATTATTTAACATACTTCTCAATGTAATAAGAATAAATGAGGTGTAAAGATTAGAAAACAGGAAACAAGACTTACTGAGTATTAGAAGATTTTCTTCACAGTAAACTCTAAAGAATTAACAAGGCAAACTAGTAAGAAAGGTCAAGATCCCTAGTTACCATACATACCTCCCAATAGCTTTGATCACCAGGAATAAGTATTTATATGTTAATCTATTCAGAAAGACACTGGGAGTTATTCAAAAATAATAAATATCCAAAATGACAGAAATCTCCATATTTATGAAGCTTGCATTCTATTGGAAGGAGAGAAAAAATTTTTAAAAATGAACAAAAATACATACTGTATAGCCACTTGGAAAATATCACCAAAATAAAAAGACCTTTTATATCCATTTCATAAATATAAAAGTTTTGGCTGTTGATTTTAATTAACTTAAGAATCTGAGTATTGAATGTCCTAGCTAATTTGAGACTATTAAAAAATACTTCAGAAAATATATATTGGTATTCTAATGTGGCTTTTTTTGAGACCTTTTAAAACCCAGATATAAATATTGAATTTTATCAACAGTGTAACTGTTTTCTGCTTCTAAAGTTTATACTTTTGTTCAGAAGGAAATACAAAGAATGTTAAAGGGAATCAATATTATACTCATTATTTAATCATTCATTATTTCAAACTTGTTCAATAACTTATGTAAGAATTATAAAAGAGAAGCAAAAGAAAACATGACTAAGAACTTTATGAAGATAAAATTTTCTCAAATACAGTAGAGACCTAAAACTACCGCAAACTCCTAGTAATAAATCCCTTCAAAGGTAACAAAATGATTCTCAAATCCATCTGAAAAATAAAATTGTAAAACAAGAAAGAAGACATTGAAATGGGAGAATAATGAGTAGGCTTGCATTTTCAGTTACTAAAATATACTACAATATTACATTTAAAAAATGTCACATTAAAATAATCCAGGAATGGTAGAAGAAAAGAGTTGGGTCAATGCAAAAAAATAAGCCCCAAACATGTACATATGTTTGTAATGTAGTGTATAGTATGTATTGTACATGAATATATATTACACTAAATACTGACATTTCAAATCAGTGGTGAATGAGCAAACCATTCTACTAACTGGATTTGTCACTTTTTAAAAATTTGAAAAGAAGTTAGGAACTTACTTCAAACCATGAAACAAAACAAATTTCAGACCAGTTCAAGAGTTAAGTAGAATAAATAAATAAAGCTATAAAATAATGGAAATGTTGGTGAAAATGTGTAGTACTCAAGCTTTCTAAATCAAAATCTCAAACAACAATCTAAATGGACACTGACAGACTTGAATACATTAAAAATGTGTGGACATCAAGAGAAGAAGACAAGCCACAGATCAGGAGAAGCTATTTGGAAAAGATAGGTCTGATAAAGGAGTGTTATCCAAACATCCAAAGAACTCTTAAAACTCAACAATTTTTAAAAAACTTAATTTAAAAAAATAGGCCAAAGACCTTCACTGACACCACACCACAAAACATAGACAGATGGCAAATAAGCATATGCCCTATAATATACATCATTAGGGAAATGCAAATTACAACTGTGAGATAACATTACACATCATTAAAATGGCCAAAATCCAGAAATTGACATAATACTGATGAGGGTGTGGAGTAACAGGAACTCTCAGTCATTGTTAGTGGGAATGCAAAACAGTACAGCCACTTTGGAAGACAGTTACAGTGTGGCTGTCAAACAAAACTAAATGTATTCTTATCACAATCCTGCAATCATGCTCCTTGGTATTTACCTAAAGAAGCTAAAAAAAAAAATGTCCCCATTAAAACCTGCACACAGGTGCTTACAGCAGCTTTACTAAATTGACAAAACTTGAAAACAACAAAGTAGGTGAATTAATTAATAAACTGGTATATCAGACAATAAATTATATTCAGTGCTAAAAAATTAAATGAGCTATTAAGCCATGAAAAGACATGGAGAAAACTTAAATGCATATTACTAAGTAAAATAAGTCAATCTGAAATAGCTACATACTATTATGTTGGCACAAAAGTAATTGTGTTTTCTTGACCATTACTTTTAATGGTTTTTGTCCAACCTAATATATGATTTTGTTCCTAATATATGATTCAAGCTATAAAGACATTCTGGAAAAGGCAAAAATACAAAGCTCACAACAAGATTATTGGTTGCTAGAAGTTAGCTGGTAAGTGAGAGATATACAGGCAAAGCACAGAGGATTTTTAGGGCAGTGAAACGACTATGTATGACACTATAACAGTGGATATATGTCATTATACATGCATCCAAACCCATTAAATGTACAACACCAAGAACGAATACTAATATAAACTTTGGACTTTGGATGATAATGATGGGTCAGTGTAGGTTCATTGATTGTAATAAATGTACTGCTCCCGTGCAGAATGTCCATAGTGCAGGAGGTTGTGCATGTGAGAAGAGGGAGTACATGGGAAATCTCTGTATTTTTTGCTCAATTTTTCTGTGAACAAAAAACTGCTCTAAAAAATAAAATTCATTAATTGTTTTAAAAAGCTTTCATGCAAGCAGCCCACAATACTTATCTTAGAGTTTATATTATTATATAATTATCTTATTTTCATTATATAATTCATTATAATTTAAAAAGGTAATATAATTATCTTATATTTTAATATAATTATGTTGTTATAATAGCCAACCTGAAAAACACTCAATAAAAAGAAAATAAACTAAGTAATACAAATAAAATATGCAGACATATCAAATGCACCATAAACAAATATAATGACAAATGATATCCTAGAAATACAACCTGCAACATACATAATAGATATTTAACTTCCCTAAGCATTCTCCTGAATTCATTTAGTGCAGGAGAGGATTATTACTATTTGCAAATCTTAAAGGTATGTTAAATTCTCAACAACTGGGGATTGGTTAGACAAATTGTCATTCATTCATATAATGCAGCCATTAAAATAAACTTATAAAAAGAATATGGCATAAGACATTCAAGATTTAATGTTGACTAGAAATTAGGATACTAAATATTATACAGATCATGTACCACTTTGCAAAATACATAAATGTGTACAATTATAGGAATGGTACTTGCCAAAATAGTAGCATTTTTCTCCGGATAGTGTGAATTATAAGGGATTTTAACTTTTTCCTGTTGTGTATTCACAAAGGAATTCACACTGGGCATGTATTACTCTTACTGAAAGAAAAATAAATATTATTTTAAAGTAGTATAGAATAAAAAAAATACTTCATTCACAGAAACAATAAAGTGTACAACATACCTTTTACATTACCAACACAGGATATTTGTTGGCTATAACATGGCCAGACTTCCTCTGAAGTTATGTACACAGGAATATTTTCTAAATTTATAGAAACACTTTTGTTTTAATGAAAGGAAATATTATAAAACAGTTAATCCTTCCCATGTTACACAGAGATTGAATAAAATTCTTTCAAATCCCAATGGATGATTTGTTATATTTTGTTTGTAATTTAATCAAATTATACCTATGTTCCTTGGAAAAATATAAAAAGAAGAGAGAATACATTTTTGAAAAAGAAACCGTAATGATTTGGGATATCTATATAAATATTAAAACACATTTTTAAATCCCATAATTAAAAACTGTAACTAGCCCAATAATTGTACATGAAATTAATGTATCAGTGTAGGAAGCCTATTAGAATTCCCTGAATAAATATAAGCATAATATACAATGAAGGAAGTACCACAAATAGATGAGGATGGAAAAACTTATTCAATTGTGTTAAATATTTACTCTATATTTGAAA